AGGGCTTCAGCCCTGGACATTGGGGCTCAGATTACAGACCCCCTGCTTGGGACTTAAGCCCTTGGACTTTGGCTTTGGCCTCCCCACCCGGGGGGGCGGAGCTTGGGTGGGCTCCATTTTGTTGTCAGAAGGGGGTTGCGATGCAATGAAGTTTGAGAACCCCTGTACTGAATGATGGCCAAAGGAGGAGAGGAAGGACGGCTCAGTAGATAGGGCGCTAATTTGGACCAGGGGAGACCCAGGTTCAATTCCCTCCTGTGCCAAAGACTTCCTTTATGACACTGGGCAAGCCACTCAGTCTCTCTCTGCCTCAGTTCTCATCTGTACTATGGGATAATAGCACTGCCCTGCCTCTAAGGGGTATTGTGAGAATAAATACATTGAAGATTGCAAGGCATTCAGATGATGGGAGGTATCACCATTCATACAAGATATTGAACTGTGACTCAGGGCAGGGTGTGGATGCACTGATGAAATACCCCATTGTTACATAGGACCACACCTCCAAAAGGACAGTATCCCATAGTGCCATGCTAGAGCATGACCAAGTTATGGGAGCATAGCTCTGATAAGGTCATATGCTAGATGAGGTATGTGCAGGTTAAGAAAACAATGGCAGAACTCTTAGAGATCTCATGTTACTGCATTCACTATTTTTCCCATTATCTTTGGAGTTCAATTCTTTCACATACTAATGTAACATACTGTTGAAAACAATTGACCTAACTTTGGAAAATTTCTCTAGATCAGGGGTCTCAAACACACGGCCCACGAAGTTATTTGCTGCAGCCCACCAAGCTCCCCGTCCCACCCCCCCAGAGTTATTTCCTGCGGCCACCAAGCTCCCCTCATCCGCCATCTCCCCACCCCCCTAGCGTGCCGTGTCCCCACTCCTCTGCCTACCTCCAGGTGCTTCCCGCCACCAAACAGCGCTTTCCAGGAGGGAGGGGGGAGGAGCGGGGAGCTGTGTGCTCAGGGGAGGAGGCGGAGAAGAGGCGGGGTAGGGGCAGGGATTTGGGGAAGGGGTTGGAATAGGGGCAGGGAGGGGGCGGAGTTGGGGTGGGGACTTTGGAGAAGGGGTTGGAATGTGGGCGGGGAAGGGGTGGGACGAGGTGAGGCAAGGGTGGGGCCTCATGGAAGGGGTGGAGTGGGGGCGGGACTGGGGGCAGAGCGGGGGGCTTTTGTATCTTTATATGAAAAGGTGTCAGTGATGCGGCCCTCAGGCCAATGTACTAGTCCTCATGTGGCCCTCGTGGTGATTTGAGTTTGAGATTCCCTGCTCTAGATGCAGCTGCATCAGTATCTCAGGTTATGGCTGTTGATTGATTTGAAGTCAGGACTGTTTTACATGTACAAGGTGATAAAAGACCAGGTGTCTGTGTGGAGAAATTTAAACCGGGTCTGCACTTATTCATCTTTCCTACCTGAGCGCTCAGCTGTGGAAACAGCCTGGTGGACAAATCCCCAGCCTCCAGGGCCTCAGATACTTCCTTTGTCCAGTAAGTTTGACAGCCAGCGATGGTCACCTGCCCAGGCCATTGCAAGACCCATGAACTACGTGGTGTCTTTAAAAAAGACATACATTATATTGGTAATAAGCACTACGAATATCTTTTCTTTCATGATCCCTTGTCTCATGCCCCCTGCCTGGAACCTAACCAATTCCACGTCAGATATAACAATTTCTACTTAGTTGTCTACCCTATTTTCTCCAATTGCTATGAAAAAGCTTCCCCAAGATGCTGGGCATCCAGACAATGGATGCTTTGGTGCCTTCTCTGCAACAGATCATTTGGCTATGCAAGATGTGGAGAACTGCCAAAGGCAGGTGAAGACTGGGAACCAGCAGAACAAGCTTCCACTCCTACAGCGAATTCCGGTTTATTGGCGCATCAGATTCCAAGAGTATAATAATGCCTGAGATTTCTGATGCCCCATCTTTTTTTACCTTCCTTTCTCCCAACCACCAACTAAAGTGTGATCTCGATTGTCTACCTGCGTCCTTAGAAACATATGGCTGAGAATCAGCCCTGGTGTACATCCATTGGCCTCAGGAATTAATCTGGCCCTATGTTACTACTACCATCTCTTTGCACTACATGATCGACCCAAGCGCTGGAGGAGAAGATAAAAGAGGGAGCCCTATCCCAAGGAGGGAGCATAACAGAGCCAGGAGTAGAAATGGAATCATATAGCAGGGTCAAAGGCTACACTATAAAAACCGTAGGGTGTAAGAAAAACAATTCTGCTGGCTGTCATCAATGACCATGTTCTCTTGAGCCAAGACATGCCAAATGCCACTTGTTGAACTCCACCTGTATTTGCGGGTGAAGAGCAGAAGAACAGTGTGGGGTGTAAGACTCTCACATGTGGATAAACCCTGATCGATCTTTCAATATTGTCCCGCACGCTGGCCTTCATAGATTTCTCGACTTCCAGCAGCCAGTTCTCCACATTGCCAGTGGGATAAATGGGGAAAACCAGCTTCACCTCCTCCCCTTCTGCAGAGTACATGTGTGTGATCTGTAGGTCCTCCTGGAAGAGCAGCTAATGGGGGAATCACAGCATGAAATTAGTGGAGAGTTTCCCTTCTATCCATGCCTTCTTATCAACATAGGTCAAGACTCAAGGAATTGAGACATTGTTTCAATATGAATATGTGTAATATTTTTGTCCTATTGACAGTAAAACGGCTGTACCTCCAGGTCTACAGCAAAAATAATCACACAGGACCAGATTGTCTGCTGGTGCAAAGCTTTGTAGGTCCATTCAAGTCAATAGAGCTACATTGATTTAGGCTACTTATAGATCTGCCCACAATTTGGTTGTGGTTACTGATAATAAATGTACTACACATGTGTAAAATCAACATGTCTCTCTATAAAGTGAAAGAGGATTATATGACAACATGGGGCCCAACTTCATCCCTGGTATAACTTGAATGAAGTGAAGCAAGTTACATGTGGGATGAATTCGTCTCATTGCATGGCTAGGAATCAGTAAACCCTTTTTACTCTCAATTCTGTTCTTCCACTGTCCCCAGGGTTAGAGTTCCTTGTTTTAAGAATAAAAGTGTAAGGACCCGATGCAAAGCTCAAAGAAGTCAATGGAAGTCTGTCTAATGACTCCAGGAGGCTTTGCATCAGACCCCCAGCTAAGCTTCCTTTCCACTTATTCCCAGGCTAGTGATGATCAGATGTATTTTTAGTGCTGGTGTGAGATGTGGGATTGACAGTCCTGGAATTTGAAGTCTTCTACTACAGTGGTTCGCAACCAGAGCCACATGTACCCCTGGGGGTACTCAAAGGTCTTCCAGAGGTATATCAACTTATCTAGATATTTGCCTAATTTTACAACACGTTACATAAAAAGCACTAGTGAAATCAGTACAAACTAAAATTTCATACACAATGATTTGTCTATACTGCTCTGTATACTATACACTGAAATGTGAGTACAATATTTATATTCCAACCGATTTATTTTATAATTATATGGTAAAAATGAGAAAGTCAGCAATATTTCAGTAATAGAGTGCTGTGTGTTTTTATGTCTGATTTTGTAAGTTTTTAAGTGAGGTGAAACTTGGGGTACACAAGACAAATCAGACACTTGAAAGGGGTACAGTATTCTGAAAAGGTTGAGAGCCACTGTTCTAGAAATAATAAAACACCAAACTTCCCCCATATGACCGGGCTAGTGAGCTTCAACCCTGAAGGACCAAGGGGGGTAATTCAACTTCTGTGGCCCATTCAGTTCTTGGCATCTCCTGAGACTATCAACAAGGCGACCAGCTGTGGTGGTGATGGTGTGGATACGTCTCCACTGAGAATGTTGGAGATGTGTTTTAATGATAATCACGACTGAGGAAAAAGTGTAGAATTTAGAACTACCTGCCACCTTAATGGAGTTTAGAAGAGAACAAAGCCAGTTCAACTCTTCTCTTTCACATGGAGATGTAGAGGCTATTTGAAAGAATCCAGGTGCTGTCTTCACAAGGCAGCGAGCCTGTGTCCGCCCCATCTCCTCTCCTTACCGCAATGCTTGAGAATTGCTCTAAATTTCCATAATACATGACTCCTAACATCAAGACATGCCTGCTAGTCCCAGAGGAAATAGCTTGCTTTACCTACCCGTGCAATATTCTCAAAGCACTTGCGGAGGTGAGGCTGTACAGCAGTGGGGTTCTTTGTCTGAGACAGTATCTCCAGCAGCTCATCATCCGAAAGGAAGTAGAACCTGAAAACAGAGACAGAGCTAGCAGCTCATTTTGGTCTATGCTCTGCGGTTTGGTGCTCAGGCCTGGCAGTAGTGGGCAACAGTCGTGAGATTTTGGTGAGAGCAATTGCGGTGGTCTTCAAGATATCCTGCTGGTCAGCATGCATTATTTGCATGGGTGCAGAAGAGCAGTGACCATAGTCCAGTTAAATGAGAGTCTCTCTCTGCCGCAAAAGGGCCTGACTCTCTGATGTCCTTCCCCTGAAGCAGTCATTTATACCAGTGTAGAGTGGGTGTAAAAGGACAGTTTTTTACTCCCATTTTGTACTGCAATAAACACTAGTCTAGCGTGACAAAGTTCCTCCTCTATCTTGGTGGGTCCTGCGCTTATTGGCGGATTTTCTTGCCTCAGAGATTCACCATGTGGGTTGGGGAACAGCCCAGAGACCTTCCCCTCTGGAAGAACCCACAGTCCAGGTCAATTGGGAGGTTTGGGGGGAAACCGGGCCAGCCCTCTACTCCGGGTTACAGCCCAGGGCCCTGTGGACTGCAGCCGTCTATAGTGCCTCCTGTAACAGCTGCATGACAGCTACAACTCCCTGGGCTACTTCCCCATGGCCTCCTCCAAACACCTTCCTTATTCTCACCACAGGACCTTCCTCCTGGTGTCTGATAATGCTTGTGCTCCTCAGTCCTCCAGCAGCACACCCTCTCACTCTCAGCTCCTTGCGCCTCTTGCTCCCAGCTCCTCACACTCACACCACAAACTGAAGTGAGCTTTTAAAACCCAGGTGCCCTGATTAGCCTGCCTTAATTGAGTCTAGCAGCTTCTTCTTAATTGGCTCCAGGTGTCCTAATTAGCCTGCCTGCCTTAACTGGTTCTAGCAGGTTCCTGATTACTCTAGTGCAGCCCCTTCTCTGGTCACTCAGGGAACAGAAAACTACTCATCCAGTGACCAGTATATTTGCCCTCTACCAGACTCCTGTACCCCACTGGTCTGGGTCTGTCACACTAGGTGTAGGTCTAAAAAGAGTAAGGCCCAAAGTATTTAATTTCCCCTCATTTCACTTCATCCCCCCTTCCTCATGCTGATGTTTAAAGGTGCAGGCGTGTGGTGATGCTATCAAACTACCCCCACCTCAACCCTGGGCCATGGCATGTTGTCACTTCCACACAGTCTGCCCTATTTTTTCCTCCATCAAATCTCTGGGTTGAAAGAGGCAGCCTCTTTGAGACCTGCAAACTCATGAGAGTTCCATGAGATTGTGCTTTGGATGAGAAAGAATGATGCACTTGTTCCCGGGAGCCATAATCAGAGTGATTCTCTGACTTCACACCTAAGAATGGCCTTCAGTCTTGGGATTACCTGGGGAAAACTCCTCTCTTGGTCTCTAGGTATTCACTTAGCCCCTTCTGCACAAGGTCAAGTAGCTGATTACATTTCCGAAGGCTCTCCAGCAGCCTGGGATCGGGACACAGGGAAATCACCTGGAAAGGACATGAACATCAAAAAAAAGCATCAGTATATTAAGTCCTAGTTAGATAACCACATTGGAGGCAAGTTGGCTACAGAGAGATATTATTGCTGGGCTCAGAGTGGCTCATTCATAGGAGCTTTTTCACATGGCTGTATAGAGACACAAGCTTTGTGGGCCAGGAGAGGCAGTTACATTCAGAGATAAGACAAATCTACATTTTTTGGAGTTGTCCAGATACCAAACAGTGATGATCAACATTCAAACACTGAATACAAACAATGACAGTCTCTGTGGAGGAAAGGGCTGGGCAGCAGGAGAGTGCAGAATGGTAGTACCAGCATCAGTGGAATGGGGCTGAGGAGGTAGAGTGTGGGGTGAGGGAAGGGAGCCAGGTGGTGCATGGAAGTGAAAGTGGGAATCAGGCACCAGGAGGTGGGTGGTGGGAGGGAGCCAGGTCATGCTGCAAAAGCACCTGACAGAATTAGCCTACGGAACAAGTCAAGAGATGCCCTATTTGTAAGGACCCAAAGCAAATTAAAGGCTGTGGCTCTGCTGTACAGGAATGTGGGGGAAACAACAGACTTTGCATCCCACTGCATACCGTGGGGCAGATCTCAGGTGCAGGTCTCTGCAGCTCACCCTTGATGGGGAGGTGGAAATGTGGGCAAGTTACTGAAGTGCCAGAGCTGTGGCGAGTGGCTCAGCACACAGTTTAGAAACACCCCTGGTTTCTGGAATGTAAACAGCATTTTAAAAGAAGAATCTTAGCAAGCTCCCCTGACCAAGGGTACTATTCATGCAGTGCCATACCTGCACATGGTGCTTTTACAGACAAGTACAGAAAAGGGGGCCAAATGTAGCTTTAGAATAAGTGTGCACAATTGCAGGTAAGTCACTATCGCTGCATCTGTTTCCATCAGGACTGAATTTGGCCCATGGTCCCTACCTTGAGAAGTCTGCAATCTAAGCAAGTGAACAAAGAATGCAACAGGAAAAAAAGGATTCAATTGTAATTCATACTCAAGCAGCTAAGATAGTAATACCCAGGCAAAGATGTGTGCATGCAGTATACAAGTGTGCACATGCAAACATATACACACACATGCCATGTGAGCACACACAGCCTTACCTCTCTGTTGTCATTAGCATTCTTCATGATCTTCCTCCAGGTCCTATCCATGGTTTGGTAGCGTTTGCTTTCTACTGGCAGCTGTCTATTGATGTCCTCTGAGCTAAAGATGGGTTCCAGGTATAGCCAGGAGCGCTGGCATGTCAGCCACTCCTCTAGGACATCCTGGTGGGAAGTCATGTAATCAGGTCAAGAGGCCTACTGCAATAAGTGCAGTTCCTAAAACAGTTCCTCTCTACATGCCCTGGGCTCAGATTGGAGATAAGAGAGGTGATCTTCTCCTAAAACACCACCCACAATACTAAAATCCACCCAGAGCAGCTGGTTGTCTCTACTAAAATAATTTCCTATTATTTCATTGCTAACATTGACATTTAAATTCTCACAAATAGGCATCAGAGTCAACATCCACTGGGATGAATGGGAGTAGTTTACATCTATACATAGATCCTATCCTTCTCCCGTTGAAGTAAACATTAAAATAGCCACAGACTTAAGGGTGCAGCATTAAGCTGCTAGAGCTATTCCTCTCTCTGCCTGTAGACAACAGGACAACATCAGGTCACATTAAGGGCTTGTCTACACAGAGGGGTAATGCGCCCTATGGGGTGTGATTTCTAGAGCACACTAACGTCTTGTGCATTAATTGGTCTGTGCAGACCTTGCTGGTGTGCACTAAAGATTGCCTAGTGCGGTTTAACAAAGTGCTGTTTCAAACAGTACTATGTTAAGGAACACCAGGGAACCTTTACTGCATTCCAGCGGAGGCTACATGGACCAATTAATGTGCAACACAGTGCACTTTAGAAATCAAATCCCCATGGGGTGCATTGCTGTTCCAGAGAGCCTAGCCCTAAGGTGGTTATCTTTGCAACAGGAAGTGCAAAGTTTTTACTATGTTTTAAGATGAAAGCTTAAATTCTGCAGAATCTGATGTGGCTGCCAGAGAAGTGCTGGCATACAGTTCCCGCCAATACCAGCTCAATCTGACCTTGTTCACAGAGTGCTCAATGAAAACTTCAATTAAGAACATTTCAGATAAAATATTTGGATAAATTCCAAACATTTAAAATAAGAAAACACACAGGAAATACTGCCTGAAAGGGATTCAGAACACGGTGTTCAAGAACCAGCTAAGACATGGAAATAACATCTCATTGTTCAATGTTCATTTACTTGACGTTTCAAGTTCCATAGAATCCTGCAAAGCTTTGTAGAGTGTCCCTAGGATGTGACATGCTTTCAGCTGATGGCAATATATACTGAAGGCTGCGTCCACATAGAGATTTTCTTAAATTCTCCTTGTGTTTCTCTGGCACCAATACAACCCCTCCAATTCTAGCACTAGTGCACCTGCTACTGTGGACCGGATACTGCTCGTTTTATTACTGTGTCAGCCAACCCTGATCAGAGCAGCTGTCAACGACACGTGATAAGAATGCCTGAATCTGACCCACAGCAGTGCTCCCGCCATCGCTAGCACCATTGGAGCTGCACCGGGGTTGGGGAGAGAACATGCTCAATGCAGCCTCAGGGGCTAACAGAGGGACAAAAATTACAAAGAACTGGTTAAATATGGATGCAGTCAAACTCTGTTTTTTCCTCAGCTGTGTGGCAGGAAAAAAATGCCATCTTATATCGAGGTTAAAGAACCACATATTATCCCAGGCAGATTCTTAAATTAAAACATGGTCCTGTCCATACAGACAAGAATAAGTCATGTTATAACATGATTTAGTCACAACCATGTTTGTCGGCCACAATTAAACATGGGTTATTTTAAGTTTAGACAGGGCCTGTTTACTGCCTCTTCACTGGATCACCCCATACTGCTAATCTCTCAAACAAAGCCAATCTTCAGGCAGATGGCAGCCTTCAGGAAGAAGCTCCTAAGTGTTATGTGACTTGGGTTTTAACACAAGATCACAGAGGCTAAGAAACTTCACCCTGGGGTCTTCCAGAGCATCGAGCTGAACACAATGGAACATATGCTAACCAGTGTATTCAGTATGGAAAAATCAGTTGCGTCTGTAATAACCATTTGTTCATCCTAACTAAATCCTCCATGTATATAAGAGGAGGAGCAAGTGAATGCAACCTGATGACTTGCTGAGAGTGTGAATACATCAAGAGCAGCAGTGCCAGCCACACCCTGACAGAAGCTACCACAGGTATAAAGAGCAAGGGTCATTTCCTTACAACCCCTTTGGAGGGGATCTGCAGAAGAGCCAGCACTGGCTGAACTCTGCTCCCATTGGTAGAGTTAAAGCAAGACTGAGCACTTTTGACTTGCTCACAGTGATTAGCACTGTATGCCATGCATAACCCCATGGAAATCAATGAGACTTCATGGCGCAAGGCACTGCTCAGTGTGAGCAAGTCTGGCACAGGC